GAGTTACTGCAGTCACAAGATTTTCAGAAAACTTGACCTCTGACTTTGAGGTTGAAGTCACTGAGATTTGAACTTGTCCAAGTTTTTTCATAGATACACCTACGGTATCAATTTTAAGCTCCTACCTCACCTTGTTCTCGAGTTATTGCATTCAGAAACGTATGTGTTCAGGCTGACGACAGGACCCCATCAGCCTTTTACGGCTGAGGGGTAAAAAGGGCTCCACAGCAGATCTGATGCAGAGTTACTGTGTGAATGAAAAAAAGAACCGCCAGTGCTGTCACACGTAAAATGTGACAATGAGTGGCAGGAGTCAGTAGAGACGCTGTGAAAGCTTTCAAACGACACAGCAGAAAAACTTTGTGTCACACGCTGTAAAAAAAAAAGAAACATGTTTAGTTACTACTTTCCTTTCAGCTGTGGAATCCTGGGGCGTCTCCAAGACGAAAGCAAATTATGTTTGACAAACAGCCCTGTTTTGTTCAGCCTTCATGGCAAGTTAGCCCGAACAGCAGATATCATCAGATCAAAGACAATATTTTTCCTTAACATCTTTCCCGTCCTCCCTCCCTCCCAGGCAGACGTGCACTGCTGCTGCTCAGTTGTTTATCCCATAAGGGTCGTCAGTACAACTTCACAGTATTTGGTTTTTTGTTTTTTTTTTCTTAACTTTGTAAGTAGGATAGGGACTTGTGTGTGCATGAACAGAGTATTCATGTATTTACCTCTCAGTCCTCACATCCAGTATGTACATTTCCTGTGCATGGATGGTTGCATGCATCTTTGTTTGTTTGCATATTTGTCTGTACGGTTAATCAAGGAAACAAGTAGGAAAAGCAGCACTAAAACAATTTCTGCCAGTCCCTCTGTGCATTTCCAATATGCTTGATTTCAAGCCTAACAAGAAGAAGAGCATCATGCAGGTTTAAAAGTTCGTTTCATTTCAGCTAATTGCAATTCCCATCTGAGAAATCTGACAGCAGTTAGACAATCTCAATTACAAGTGTGCATGTGCAAATTCTCACTCTGAATGAATCGTATCATCGTGTCACTAAAGGTATTAGCACCCCTCCCCACACCCAAAAAAAATAAAAAAAAACAGCTGAAATTGAAATAGTCCGTGCCAATTTCTCATGTTCACAGATGGGTGATCTTATTACCATAGTGTGTAAGCTGATTCAGCCTTTATGAAACTAAACACTGCGATGAGAAATGAGAAGACAGATGAGGAAGCCCTCACCCAGAACATAATCTGATATTCCAGCAGTCTGTTTCAAATAGAAATTCAAAACAAGCGTGAACTCACCTACAATGTCAGGCTGTCACAATCTCTTGCTGAGGTTTCATTTAATGCTTGTTAACAACTCATTATTTCCCATTTGCAACACTTTCCTGACAGAGCACAGGCCAGATATTACAACATCACCTCACTGAGAAAACAAGTTAAACCTGGGCGAGTAAACACTCGGACACAATGGATTCAATATCAGACCCGGAAGGAGCTCAAGGTGCTTCAGGTAATATATGCATGAGGTCAAGTGACCTTGATCTTCTAGCTCACTGAGCCTTAATAATACAATAATCAGAGGTGGAAGCAAGTAGCAAAGTGCACAATCACCAGTGTTTCAGATGCATCCAAAGTTGCTCAAATACATGCGAAAATACATAATACAATGCATATTAAAGGTGGTGATATCACAGAAAGAGTACATGTACACGATGTGCAAATTTGCATATTCCAAAAATATC